CATTGGCCGCCCGCAGGCAACCCGACTCGACCCCCCGGCCTCACCAAACCGGCACGCAGTCCGCCCTTGGGCCTGCCACGAGTCCCACACCAGGGAACCGGGTCTCGCGCGGGACTGTCACGCGAGACCCGCGTTTTCCTTTATATGTATAGAGATAAAACGAAGATGTTGAAGAATGTCCGACACAGAAAGAGTGTCAGGTCCCGTATCGGTTGTCCATTCCCCTGCACGCGGTCCACGGACCACCATACGAAGAGCAACACAGGATGAACGTGTCCGTGTATGCTGCTGTGCCTGTGCAAGAGCGTAGACATGTGCCTCGTCAACGGCGTTAGCAACATTGTTAAGAATGCGTTGATGAGAAAGATTAGTATACATGGTAGTAAAATCGACCGTACGAGAGACCAGACCTCGAAGAGATGCTTTATTCTTTTTTAGGTCAAGCATGACCTCATCACTGCTCTGAACAATCCAACATCGTCGAATGCCTTTGCATTGAAAGATGTGGGTAGAGAGGAATGCCCCTCCGACAGAAAAAAAAATTGTGAAATACCCCTTGCGTCAGTTGGACCCCCCATCTTTGTGATGTACCCCTACACAGTACCATCCAACTTTCCAAAATACCACCGTACTGGGTACCATCGAACTTTGCAAAATACCCCAGTACTTAACAACTTTTCCAAGGCCCAGTTATAAAAGGCCGAGGCCCAAACGGCGAGGTCCAGATTGCAAATTTGCACACACGCCTGACAGGGTGTGGCATTCTGAGCCACACGGACCCCAGACAGGGCCCGGTTCCCAGTAGGCAGGGTAGGCTAGGGGGACGACGGTTCAGACCAGGCCCAGATAGGCCAGAGGCAGGGCACGTTTAGGCCCGAACGGCCAGAGGCCGGTACCGGTTCAGATTAGAACCTACCGGCGGCGTTTCAGAGGCTGCCCAGAGTTCAGGCGCCAAGTCCAGTTTGAATCTGGACCGTTGATTCGATCAACGGTCCAGGCCCGTAGGTACCAGTAGGCAAGAGGCCAGCCCAGCACTACAAAGGCTGGGTACCAGCCTCAGTCGAGGAGAGTTAGTATGGACGGGGTTAGTCTTCAGGATTAGCGCAGCAGCCCAGCGTTAGCTCGATTAGCGCAGCGCTGCAGCAGCGAGGGAGCAAGGTTCAGCGGAGAGCGGATTAGCGCAGCACTGGGCGCCTCGCCAGTTACCGTCCCAGCCCCCCTTTGCAGCGCCATAGCCAGGTACCAGGGAGGAAGGCTTCGCCTTCTCTCCCACCTCTCCTCTACCGCTTCTCTCTCCCTCTCTCTCCTCCTACCTTCTCAGCCTAAGTCTACTTCTACTTCTCCTACAGGACTACTTGGGTATGGGAGATGGTTACGAGTTCTGATGACATCTGGGACAGCGACATTGGGACTACGAGTTGAGGATTATTTGGGGATCTGATTTCATCTTCCTTCCGGAGAGGTACTTGACATTGTGAGATCGATATCTGAGACATTGTGAGACTTGGCATTCGCAACATTTCGGATTTTCGTCATTTCTGACATTTCAAGATACTATCTTTGGAGACATTGAGTTGACGTCATCTTCCCCTCTCCTCCTTTCATCTCTCCCCCTCTCTCCCTTCGTCTGTGGATGATCTCAGTCCCTGGCCTTTCGTCTATGTCTGAGGCCAGGGCATTCACACCCCTGTGAATGTTTGAGAGTGTTCGATTGCAGTCCGAGTCAGGTCTGAGTCAGTCCAAGGTATCTCAAGTCTTCCGCTTGCATTTGTATTAACTCTGTATTATCTGGTCGGTTCTGGGAATTTGCGCCATACTTATGACTGTGTTTCACGAGTATGCAACACAGGGTCATAACACAAAGATTTCGTCCCAAGAGGGCATTCCTCTCTACCCACATCTTTCAGGGGCATTTTGGCATATATCTCAACTTACGGGGGTATTTCGCAAATTATCCCAATGAAAAGAAAAACACCAATAAAAGAAGGGTAGGAGGAGGTGGCAAGAGGGAAAATTTGGTTCCCAAACAATCACCAACGAGCCTAGCTCAGTGTTGGTACACCCATGACCTGTTGAAATACAGACCTGAGTTCGAGTCCAGATGAAATCTATTAACTGAACTCGTTACAAATACCAGGGGCCGATCAACTGGGCAACGACATACCACGTCCATCACCCTATTTTGCTTTTTTTTTTCAAAAAAAAAAAAAAAAAAAAATCTCCAGGAGAGAAAGGCAGGCACACCTCTTACTCCCTGCTGCTACTATAAAGAACGCAGAGGAAAGGAGAGAGAAAAGAGGTGAAAGGAGGGGGAGAGGGGACGATTTATTCCCCACCCTCCCTCCTTGAGAAAGCAAACAAACCAATATATCACTATTATCAAATGCTAAATCTAAGGAGGATAGAAACAGCCCTTATGTCTTCAAATTTCTGAGAGCAAATTCTTCCTTCCAAACTGCAAAAAATACGTTACATAAAAGATCCGATCTAGGAGTAAAAAAATACCGACCATCCTGCTGGGCCGCTCACCTCTGGAATACTCGACGGACATCACCAACGACAAAAACTTGTACACCATTCACCTCTTCCCTCCTCTACGAGAATGACCCCTTTGTCTCGCCCAGCGTGCCCCACCTTCGCCTCCTGTGCGTCAGAGGACAGGAATGAAGAAAGTGGCCGCAGCAAACTAAGAAAATAACCAGAAAGTCTTACAAACACCTCTTCCTAAGACAAGGTGATTGCTTCCTTCATGTACATTCCAGACAAAGGAAACAAGCACCCACACACGGCCTCTCTCTCTCTCTCTCTCTCTCTCTCTCTCTCTCTCC